CAACACTTTGAAAAACACACTATTTTACCTTACGTGTATCATTTAAACAACACAATGACTATAAATGAGCCAAAATTGTCATTTATCTGATTTATCTATCTCGAATCTATCGCGTGACGCCCTGTTTGTGACCTAAATTTTAAGGTCAGAGTGCGATTTTATGGAAATTTAGTCGGCGCTCGCTCGAAAACTTTACAAGATCCCAGAAAAACAAAACTGTAACTTTTAACGACTGTATTTTAGGAATTTATGGTAGCAATATCAACGATTTTAAGACACTACCACATGCTTTTCCATCGCAATGATTTAACCCCACTTTTGCATGTCCTTGAATGGCTGAAAATGTTCCTTCAAATTTCGAGTTTATTTCTTACAGAAATAACCTGAGACAAAAATTATCCATATATTTTAACAAAACAAGGCCCCTACTGAATAGTTATAGCAAAAGAAGACTGGCTGCTATGTTTTAGATCGAACACGATTATTTTGAACATAGGGTGCGTTAGATTGGGAAATCTGGATTTAGATTTTAAAATCCGGATTTCGGATTTGCAATCGAACGCGAAATCCGAAAACGGATTTCAACGCTGAGATATCTGTGTTTTTGGATTTTCATTATTATCGTTCGATTGGGAAATCCGAAAAAGGATTTGAAAAACTATCCTTAAGAACAGCGGTCTTGCACGCGCACGCATACTTAGCAAAAAGAAGACCACTGTTCACGAGAATAGTGTTACAAATCCTTTTTCAGATTTCCCAATCGAACGGTAAAAAGGAAATCCATGAAATCCGGATTGGATTTCTTAATTGAAATCCACCCTGAGGACGGATTTCTCGGAGGTGAAATCCGTTTTCGGATTTCGCGTTCGATTGAGAAATCCGGATTTAGATTTTGAAAATCTAAATCCGGATTTCCCAATCGAACGCACCCATAGTGAAATTTTGAGCTGGCGCATAGCCAAATCCGGCGAAATTATTTTTAACGGTTTATTTCAAAAAGAAAGCGTATTTCAAAAAACTAGTTCCATTTTACTGAAGGTAGTACATTAGCCTTTCCCTGGACAAAAAATGAGCCGAATCGATTTTTTGACTGTGGCCACGAATTTCCGATTTTTGTTTGATTTTTACTGACATTCACTCTTAACATTATGGGAAATTATTGACTCAAAACGCAAATCTAATTTTAACCTTACAATATTTTTTTTAATTTCACGGCTGGTATAGTACCTTTGTATCAATTCACATCCTAGGCCCTCAGTACTTGAGCCAAACCTTCAAACGGAGATAAAAGGTTCACAGAAGTACGATAATATTAATAGGCACACTTACTTGTTCATTTCGTGTCGGAATGAAGGAACCGTTGCTTCCCGTACCATCCGCATTGCCAATGGCTTTGCTGTCCGGTATGACAGAACCAGAACAAGAACCAACAGCAGCAAACACGCGACCAAGTAAAACTTCAGGGCCGTGGGTACGTGGAAAAATCTTGATCAGAATTGATGAAATTGGTACCGAAACGCGCGGAATGTTATAAATTTTTTAAATCTGGAGGTAGCCAAGCGATCCCAGTATGCACTAGGAAGCAACAGCCCAGTTTTACCCATCCGATCTATTTTTACCCCTTGTGGGCCTTCTAAAAAACACTCAACTTGCTTTAAGTAATCGCCAAAGTCCGTGGATTTTTTTCAGCAACCGACAGCAAACAAAGGAAAAGATATATGTTAAACGTGCAATTTTTTAAAAGCTTTTTTCGGTCTTTCTTTAAGAATTTGAGGTATCCCATTCCAAATTTTGACCCCAACACGCGAAAAAGCATTTCGTTTGACATTGAGTCGAGATTCTTTAGTATAAAAATGTTCAGAGGTTGAGGCACGTGTGTTGTAAGTATGAACACTAGAAATTCGAGAGAAGAGTTTCGAAATATCAACCGGAGCAGTGTTTTTATTTACATCATACATAAGACTACAAACGGATTCATAATATAGAGACTGTAAAGGTAGAATTTTTGCATTGACAAAAAAAGGTATTGCGTGGTCGTTTGTTTCAGCAAAATATATTAAACGCAGTGCGCGTTTTTGAAGGACAAGAATTTGGTCGAGGAAAGTTTTACACGCGTTGCCCCAAGAGATAAGACCATAAGTTAGATAAGGTGTAATAAGTGACTGATAAATATTTAAGAGGGTGCAAGTGGGAACAATATGTCTTAATCTCGCAATTAGCCCAATTGTTTTACTTATTTTATTTGCAACAGAGTGAATATGGGTCTTCCAAGATAGATTTTCATCAATTAACAGTCCAAGATATTTAATAAAGTTTTTGCGTTCAAGGGTAACCTTTTTATTGCTTTCATTGTCAAAGATATTGACCTGGGGATCATAGTTGAGTTTTTTTTGGTATGGACGAAAAATTACATAGTTTGACTTTTTAATATTCAGGGAAAGTTTGTTTGAAGTCAGCCAGTTATACAAGTTGTGTAATTCTGCATTTACTGTTAGTTCCAGTGTCTTTAGATCTTTATGAGCATAAAGAGCATTAGTGTCATCAGCAAAAAGGAAAAATTGGAGTTTGCTCGAACAATATTGGATGTCATTTATATAAAGCAAGAAGAGAAGTGGACCTAGGACAGAACCTTGGGGTACGCCGCAATTGATATTTAGTTTACTAGATATATGAGAGCCGATTTCAGTGCTTTGTGTGCGATTTGATAAATAAGAGGAAAACCATTGATTGACAATTCCACGGAAGCCATAATAATTTAGTTTATCAAGTAAAATAGTATGATTCACAGTGTCAAAGGCTTTTTTTAAGTCAATAAAAACACCACATGAAAAGAGTTTTTTGTCCATATTGGTTTGTATAGATTCTACCATATCAAGGATAGCATGTTGGGTTGAGTGAGCTTGACGAAAACCATATTGAGACGAATATAATAGGCTGTGCTTTTCAATAAAGTCTCTCATTCTGTCGTACATAATTTTTTCGAAGATTCTATTGAAATTTGATAATAATGAAATTGGCCTATAATTAGAAGTGTCGGTCTCGTCGTCAGCTTTGAAGATAGGTATAATTTTAGATATTTTAAGTTTTTGGGGGTAAGCCCCAAGAGAGACAGATGTATTGAGAATATCTGAAAGAACTGGAGATATGACTTCGCTTGAGTATTTAAGAAGTTGAGTAGGACAGGAGTATAAGCCATGCGATTTGCTGTTTGGTATAGATAAAATTTGAAATTGAATTTCGGATGGAGTTACAGGTCTGAAGAAAAACGAAACTTCTGGCGAACTGGAGTTTCTTAGGTAGTCTATGAAGGGACGCTCTGCCGGTGGTAGTTTGCTTGCTAAGATGTTGCCAACATTTGAAAAATGTTTATTTAAGATATTAGGTATACGCGAGGAATCATTAGTAAGGTTATTGTTGTTATCTGGGTCTTTTAATTTACTAACAGATTTACACTTTCTTTTGCAGCGATTTAATAATTCATTTATGCCTTGCCATGTTTTTTTCATATTACTTAAATTGTTATTAAAAAAGGCGCAGTAATAGTGTTTCTTACTCAGACGTATAAGACTGCAAATTTTATTTCGATAATATTTATACTTTTCCTGATCGCCAATTTGGTACAGTCTGTTTTTTTCTTTGATTGACGTTCTTATACCTTTTGTAATCCAAGGCTTAGAAAATTGTTTAATCCTACGTCGAGAAAGGGTTTTAATCGGTGCATGTTTATTTATAATTTTATTAAAATTTCTATAGAAAGTTGAAAATAGCTCGTCTACATTATTTGCGTGCGTTTTAATGATGCAACTCCAGTCGATCGTAGCAAGGTCGCTGTTAAGATTATCGGGATTGAAATGCGAAAGATCGCGTTTTTTAATTTGCTTCCGTTTAATCTTATCTCTTGTTGATGTCAAAATACAAAACTGCGAAAAATGATCGCTGACATCAGTAATGAGATTACCGCTGATTAGCACCTGCTCAGGATTGTTTACAAAAATGTTATCGATTAAGCTTGCAGAATTTTTGTGAACACGTGTTGGTTTGTCAATAGTTGGAAGGAGATAACAACTTTGAAGAGCCAGTAAGAAGTCGCGACTGTAATTACAGGTTTCGATTTTTTGAAGACATAAATTAAAATCACCTAAGAGACATAAGTTCTTCCCTGTCGAAGTAAATTTGTCGATAGTCTCTTCCAAGTATTTAAGAAAGCTCTCTGGAGAATTATGTTGACGGTATAAGACTCCACAGATTACGTTTTTCTTCTTAACAAAAGAAATTTCTATCCACAATGCCTGAAAAGATTCGGTGGAAGTTTTTTCTAAAACTGAATAACTAAGTGTTTCATCGACAAAGAGGCCTACACCACCACATGCTAGAGGTGTTGGGACGTGTTCAAAAACGTAACCGGGTATGTTTGAAAGGCCTGTATTCTCATTAGAATTGGTGATTTTAGTTTCCGTGACACCAATTATATTGAAGTGAATACCTATTTCTTGTAAATAATGAGTCACTAGATTTTCGAGGTTACGATTAAGGCTTCTAATATTATTGTGAAAAATTGAGAGACTAGATTCAATTTGATCCTGCGTAAGATTATTAGTAAACTGCTTAAGACTGTGTGGAGAAAAATATCGGCTTCTAATACATTGGCTCATTAAAGCATCGTTATCAGTTTGGTTGGTATCAAAGGCCATATTCAAATTAAACAAATCCAGATCATATAAACTATGGAGATTATCTAGATCTCGTTTAGTCGGGAGCTCACTATTAACTGAATTATTAAATTGGCCATGGGCAAGGGCTAAGTTACCTCTGAAATTAAAGTACGGTAAATCTTTTAACAGAGATTTATTTAACTTCTGTTGTTGCTTAGTACTGGTCTTTGTAGGCATTTCAATAGTCAAACTTGATTACTTCGTAATGACAGAATATAAAAAGTACTTGAGTACTTAGCTCTGTAGGTGATCGTTCACTCCAGCTTCTGAGGCCGTGCTAAATTTCTTGTTAAGCTCAGAAAGGTCGGCGAATTTGTAAATTGTGGATTCTTCAGACTTGCGAAGATACACAAAGCCATTTTTCGCCCAACAAAATTTGTACTTCTTAGCCTCTTTGACTTTCTTTGCTTCATGATATAAGGCTTGTAACCGTGGCGTTAAGTGATCATAGATATTAAGGTACTTGACATTGATATCAGCTGCAAATCCAAGTTCTTCGGCCTTGAGGCCACCAACTTTCTTCCTGGCCGCCATTACTTGGTCTTTAGCTAGCCTTCGTACAAACTTACAAACGATTGCATTGGGTCGATTTGACGGCTTCATAGACGGCACTCGGTGGGCCGTATCAATATCCTGGATCGACACTCCCTTTACTCCCAAGGCTGAAAATAACTGTAGGCATAGATTTGCAGTTTGCTCAGGGTGTTCACGTTCAGCAACCATCGGCATTCCGACTATCTTGATGTTGAATTGGTAGCTGTACAGTTCAAAAGCATCTAGCGATTTCTGGATGCGGTCGCAGGTCTCAGATATCTTATCGAGTCTTGCCCTAATTTCTTCAAGCTCTTTACTGGCACTTACTTTGAAAGCAATTAAATCATCATACTGGTCCGAAACAAACTCCACTGATTTGGTTTTGTCTGGTGACAACACTTCGACGCCATTACCGACATTTAGATTGCATTCTTCAGTTCGTTCACTTAACTCTTTCAAAACCTTTTCTAGCTTCACTTTAAGCTCCGCTACTTCGTCCTTGAGTTCTTTGTTTGCTTTTCTCAATTTTTGTTCACTATTTGTCATGATATTAGAGAGAGTTACCGCTCGCAACTCGCTCGACGTTACCGCACGTAGATCTCCGGAAGAAGGGAAGAAAGTTTTTCTCATTCGTGTGAAGAAATTATTCCTCAGTATTTAGGCAAATCTGAGCGTGCTCGCCTGCTAGATTTTTTGCTTAAAATGCAATGGTTCGTGATTCGGTTATTCATGATAAAAATAGCTATTATCGGCTGGGAACAGTTTAAATCTCCATACCAAAATATCATGCATAGCAGCTGGCTAAGGATATACTCTAACGACCTACATGAAGCAGAGAAAAATGCTGAAAGGATACCACATAAGGAAAGGAAGGGGAGGATGTTATCGAAACCATGGGCACGAGGAGCACGCGATAGACAGCACGTCTCAAGGGGTTTCTGGCCTGGGTCAAAGGTGTGTTCGGAGCATATGAATGATTGGCAATATCTCTTGCTAGGAGGCCTAAAACAAAATGAATTTTTTTCCCCAAAAGTAAATCTTAAGGTTTTTTTCTACCTTAAAGTTTAATTGTGGTCACTTGACCAAAAATTGAAAATGAAGGAAATTGGCGAATTGGTGGCGAATTTACTTTCTTTAGATAAACAAATTAGCATTTCTGAAAGAGTATAAAGATATCTAACTTTCTACGTTTGGAATTAATGAATGTACGCGAAGTTTGAAAATAAAGTTTTAAATAACTTAAGATTAAATTTGGGCATTTTAAATGATGTTTTCCGTCATAATTTTTTATTGAAGCGCAGTGGACGGTCATTCCAAACGTGAAGTGTTCGAAATATTTAATATGAATCAGAAAAATGTTATTGCTCGATTTATTTTTTTAAACGGGCCACCAATTGGTCAATAATGGTCACGTGACAAAAATGGTCACGTGACATATCACCTGACTTATTAACACAATAATTATACTTTATAATGTTAAGGACGATGAGTTCTTTATGTGTGCCAAACTTTGATTCAGCGCCATCATTTTTGCCGAAGTTACAGCCAATAAAAGTCCCAGGCCTTAGACTGCTTGAGGTGATCCACTCATCAGGAAAAGGCAAACCGCTATTACAGTTAGATATGAAAAGTATTTAAGTTCGGTTAAAAAAAACCACCAAGAAATGCTCAATACAAGTATTTTTCGTGCCTGCCGAATTCCTAAACAAAACTGCGGAGGTGAAGCGTTACTGGGTCACGCAACACACTACCAGAATGACGTCAACCATCCCCTGCCCCTTTCATTAGAGGCCATAAAAGAGCAAACCCAGCTTTAGAATGCCTAGGCTCCTTCTGATTTACATGATTGGCTTATTTGCCTTGAAGTTAATGCCATTTCGTCTTAGGCAATTGGTGTTTTCTTTTTTTTAATTTTTAGTTCTGAACATAAAGACTATGTTCAAAGTGGCTGCAGGGGCTGTATTTATAGCATCTACCTATCAGCTCCTGAAGCGAGGCTGCACATATGATCAGTTCGTAGCTGCTGTTAATACCTGCGTCCTTCCTGCTGGCGTTAAACTGATACAAATAGCTGAGGGGAGTGTGATCCTCAAAGTTCAGGCAGAAGACATTTCAGGTCTTGACACCTTGTGGGGTTTATACACAGATGGAACGCTCAGGGAATCCCTGCAAGACATATTTGTCACATCTTTGTTTGGGAAACAAGTGGAAGTCATTGTGACTATCGACCAACAAGAATACGAGAATGCAAGGAAAGAGTTAATCAGTAAAGTGCAAGGTAAATTTATAACTATTGTGAAGACAAAATAAATTGCATTTGGCTGATTTGGAGCCCGCTTGTTTTACTTTACGGTTTAAAGATCGAAGAATATTACATTTGAAGCGTGCTTGTTTTGGTTTATGGCTTATACATGTAGAACGAAGAGTATTACGTTTGAAGCTCCAACTTGTTTTGCTTTATGGCTTGCCGAACGAGGAATATTACTGTTGGGCCGCGCTTGTTTAGCTTTATGGCTTATTTTAAGAGGAATTTACGATCTGTATCAATCAACCCGGGCTGCTAAGATCCATACGGATCACACGGATTGTACGAATCGTAACACGCTGCACAATGATGTCACTGATGTTATAATGTGATGCACGCTTCCTGTGTGATAGGGACTGTTAGCAAATGTTGACGGTTTGTAGGGAACGTACGATCCGTCAACTGTTGCTGTTAACCGTGAGTGCGGCTGTGTCGTATGACTGGTCACTTTCTTTAAGACCCCCGCTTAAGTTAACTTATAAAAGGCAAAATCATCATTTGCAGCTGCGAACTTGAGTAATCAGCCCAGAAACCCATCCTCTAATGCTAAAACAAACACTTTGAACCTTTATCACAGAGATTTTTTGAAATTCCTTTTTTCTTATTTGGGTATTTTTTTTTCGATATTCCCCTTTTTTCTCTTAATTACCTCCATTTGCAGTTGCATTAATTTACGCTTATTTTAATTTTTATTGTACGAAGGTCCTGCTATGCCGACTGGGGATGATGAGTGGCAGAAGGAAAAAAATGCTTACATTAAGAGATATCTGGAACAAACCAGTGATATTGGTTCACAAAGTATCACAACCGAACCAAGCGTCAGTTTAATGTCTGGATCGTCAGGTTATGCATCTGAGCTTGGCAGAATTGAAGAACCCAGCGGTAAATATGTGTAATTTCAATAAGAAAAAAGAACAATCAGGAGAAACTTTATAGCACGCTTTGAGGCATTGAGATATTCTGAATCGTTTAAAAGCGCCAGTAACATTTAATCTTTAACTTTTTAAAATAGAGTCTAAGTAGTGTCAGCCAGTAAACGAGAGAGTAATTGCACACACATTTCAGGTTGCCTGTGCCCAAATCTAGGTTTTAAGGACCTCTTAGAAAAACATTGACGCTTTTCTTTTATTTCGTCCTTTCAAAAGTGGGGCCAGGGTCTCACAAAAGACTCCACCTAATTTTATCAACGGAGTTGTAAAAGTTATTGAAGTCAATTGACTGAAAATGACGTTTCGAGAGCTAGTCCTTTGTGAGAGCTGGTAGTCTTGACTATTAATTTTTGCCTTGTATTCCTACCTTCGCTTTTTCAAAAAGTGTAAAAATTTACTCTTGTTATTGAATCATTTTCAGCAGTGTATAAGTTAGAAAAACAGCTGGGATGGTTACATTTTTCTATTTTTTCCTTTCTCCTACAGATTCTTCTTTCAATCTTTGCTTAAAAGATCTAAGTAAAGCAGTGACCGCAGAAATATCATTCAGACTTCAAACTGACCACACTGCCTTGGAGCAGTTCTGTCAATCGTTTGGGCTTGATCGTAAAAAATTGCATTTCAGCATGAGGGGGGAATCAAGACAAGAAATCATCGAATTGTTCCCAGACACCCCAGTCACGCTGTTAAGAGACGTATTTAGGAAGCTGGAGTTATACGATCTCGTAGAGTTGCTGGAAAAAGCGAGACCAAGCACGCTTCGTGCCCTTCCGGCGAAAGAAATGGACAAGGTCCTAAATGCCAATAATAAACGACCAACAAAGTTCTTCAGCAAAACAGAGGTTTTGATCATAGATTACTTTGACTTTGCTGCTGTAGAAAAAGCAAATATTCAAAGACTTGGATCTTTTTTTAAAGATCTAAATTCAAAGAGCCAGGTGACTGAAATTACAGCAGAGGTTACCTTCAAACAACGCTTTGAAGATATTAACAAGTTGTGGGAAAGGAGTGCGATGGAATGGGACAGTCAAAGAAGAGCAGAGGACAAGGAAACGATGCTGAAAGAGTTGCTGAAGGAGAAATTTCCAAATAGTGGGTACAAAGGAACAGAAAGCCGTCCTTCTGCTGATTTAAAACGCAAGACGCAACTGCTGAGCACGTTTTACCAAGAGGAATCAGCAATGAAAAAACGTCTAGAGGAGTTGGTACTGGAAAGAGGCAAAACAGAATTAAAAATAAATGAAATTTGTAAGGAGATTGAACAGAAGGTGGAAGAACTTAAAGGAGAACTACCGGAACAGACAGAGAAATTCAAAGAGGCTATTTCAGACTTCTTAGACGAAAGGATCCGCCAAGCAAATGATAAAGGTGAGTTTACCTACTGGTAAATTCAGGTGATAGATCGATGTAGGTATAAAAGGGCGAATATACTATGTCCAATGAAAACTAAAAGAAACCTACATTAAAAAGATTGTTTGTTGTGATTCATGATTATTAATAGAAGTATGAGGCAACTTAGAACAGGTCGGCCATTGGCCAGTGTGATTGGTTCTGCATGTGTTTGGGGCATGGAAGCTATCACATGCCTTTTATAACAAATTTGTTTCAACCTTATTTTTCAAGTATGCTCTCGAGTCGTTAAAAGACAAGAAAGTAATTAAAGCTCGTAGAGACTCTCGCATTGACAAATCCATTAAAGATGTTCGGTCACCGGTGTTTGCTGTATTAGACTTCTGATTAGACGTAGTGGTGATGTCAGCCTAGGAGACCCATAGGAAAAAGACAAAGAAAAAATGACTAAGAAGGATGAGTATGTACCCAAGTTGAGAGAATCTTACCCTACATCCTCAGTTAGAAATACTGTACTACCCCGGTAGTAAAAACCCTCATTTTGCCAAGTTAGCCTGAACCGACCCTAGTAGTGGATATTGCTATTAGTAGGTAGTAGGCCCGTTGCCAGTGTGTTTAAGGCGTGGTCACTTTTCGACCGAGCAGAGATTGGACCGGACGAGTGAGGAGTGGTCGCATGGAGTCTGAACCCAAGTTAGCTCAACCGCATGGCAGTCTTGGTTCGAGTCGCGCGTAGAGGAAGGTCACGTGATTAGGTTGAGATTCGGGTCGGACTTAAGGTTCGGGCTATAGTCGGAAAGGGTTCGGGTTAGAGATTACTCGTAAGCTTGTCCGTCTATTAACAATTAACAACTCTATTAACTCACGGCAATTTGCTCATTGGTTGCCCAAAATTGCCCGCAACATTGCACAGGTGAGTGAGAATTAAATAAAGGGTTTAGTTTTATCGTTTGTCTCACGAT